ATGGCGTCATCTGGTCTTTGATCAGGGAAGGTGTGTGTGTTTGTGTGTGCTCATGCATATGGCCGGTCCCACCAGTTCCATGGGAGTGAATTTTATTTCTCAGGAAACCTTGACTGTTTTATATTGTGGAGAGACATTGAGTGCTTCATCTCCATTATGGGTGTTGCAGTGGTGGCTCCCAGCAGAGGTGCCATGGTGGGCATTCCTGTGCCAGGACCCCAGGGCTCTTGCTCCCTTGCAGGGGATCTGGCCCCATCACGTGCAATGAAAAAGCTGCATGTTTGCTGCTAGGGCAGGCATAAACCAGGTGCCATGGTGGGCATTCCTGTGGCTACTGGGGTGGCCCAACCTCAGCAGTGGCATTTGTCGTCAGTCCAGCCTTTCTGCTGGACACCTGAGGGAARTGAAGGTCTTTTGCCATGTCTTGGTGCTTTGAAGTTTGAAGTGTAATAAATAAATTCCTTATCTCTTTTCCCTTGGTATCTCTTTTTGCTCTCTCCACTGCAATTGTTGGGACTTTCTCCTGTGGCTGACCAGGAGCTCCTCCTGTGCTGGTCCATTTCCCTGGTTTCAGCAAGCACCTGGCCCTGCTTTTAGTGAGAGGCCAGACATGGGGATGTGTGGGGGCCAAGGTACCTCAGGAGCAAGGCTTTGTACCCAGCCCCTTGGGAAATGTCAGTGAAGGTGGCCCTAGTACACATGTGTCATGTGGAGGCCACTGGGACAGAAATCCCACCWGTCCTGTGCTCTGTGTGGGGATGGSCCTGATGTCTGTCTGTCCCCTCCCACCCCACAAATCCCTGCCCAGGAGTTTTGGAGGGGGCAGAGGGCCCTCCTGTGGCTGACTGCAGCCAGGTGGGCCGTGGATGGATAGGACCATTTTCCCTGGGTGTAGCTGTGGGGGTTGAAATGGGCAGGAGGTGAAGGAGCACAAGAAGCTTGTCCAGAACAGTTGGGAGTGACATTGCTGGGTGCTGAAAGTTCCCGCTTCTCCCTCATCCTGGTGCAAGGGGAGAAACACGAGAGGCTGAGCTGTGCTGCCCACAGTGAGTCAGTCCTGCCCTGGCAGAGGGCTCAGGGCTGCCCTACATGTGCTCCTTTTTACACCTCTAATCCCTGCGCTTGCAGCAGGGCAGGGCCTGACCACCCCCTTATCACAGGATACCTCCAGCCACTTCTAAACCATGGGAAGAAGGGATGGGGCTCCCAGGATGTCTGGGAAGAGGTGGATGCTGAGGCCCCAGGATGGGTCCAGGCAGGGAGAGCGAACRTGGTTTAAGGCATCTCTAATGAGGTCTTGCCTGGTTTTTGCTTCCCAGGAAAGGGCTTTAGCTATTCCCCCCTCCCCAGCACACCCCCTTCCGCTCTCCCTGGCTGTGAGTCTGATCATCCTGAAAATTAAAAATAAAACAAAATGCAGCATTTCTTAGAGACTGAGTGGAAAGTCACRGAGCTGGGACAGGCCCACAGCCTCTGTCGCAGAGCCCCTCTCTCACACCCTGCCATCCCTGCACCCTGAAGGTGAATCTCAGGCAATTCCTGTCCCCCCAACAAGCATCTCTCTGCCTCCCTCATTAAAAAGGAATTAAAACTGGATGAAGGAAAAGCTCTGGGCATTTGGCAGCTCTTCCCACCCTGCTCCCTACCCTGTGGGAAGACACCCATCCTTAGCTGTCACGCTCATCCTGCTGCAGGGATGGAAGTGGGCTGGGAGAAAAGGGGTGCAGGGAGGGTAGTTTGGCCTCTAACTCTGGCATTTTGTATTCATGAGTAAATATTTGCTAATGGCAGCACGGCTGGGCGAATGTAGGGGAGCTGCTGCTCTCCCCGTCGGAGCAGGCAGGGAAATGAATATGAATTTATCATGATTAGGTGAACTCAGCAGGGAGAGCGGGAGAGAGAGGGCTAGGCAGGGAGGGGGCGGGCGAAGATGGATCTGTGCAATAAAATTAAATAAGGACACCAAATAGAGTCACTTCTCACRCACTCGCCCGCCCTCCCGCGTGCAGGGCCTCTCCTGCCTCCCGCGCTTCTCTGGCTTTGCTGATTTCTCTCTTTCCTCGAATTTATGAGGCCAATTATGAAGATGAGGTTGGAAGTTCTCAGAAGTTCACTAAATGCAAAGTGTGGTCCCTGCTGTTCCCATCAAATTAATTAACCAAGCTCTATTGATGGCCGGGGTGACGTCGGTGCGGAGCGTGAGGGAAGGGCTGCTGGAACATGGCTGAGCAAACCTGGGTGGAGGAGGCCTGGAGGGAACAGCACCCTGAGGGGTGACCTCAGTGGGTGCAGAGCAAGAGCCCTGCCAGGGCAGCCAGAGGGCAACAAGAGCAGGAATGTAGAAAGGGATGCACCAGGTCCCCGTGTCAGTGCTCTGTATCACAGGCCCTGTTCCCACCATTGTTTGCTCTGTCTGGAATGAGATCCAGCTGGGTGGTGGTAGCACTGCCCTGATGGAGACATGGCATGGATACACAGCAGGATGCTGGGCCATGTCCTGTAGAGAGTCCCCTAGTTGTGCCTTGTGGTCTGCATGAGCTTGTGTCTGCAGGARCAAAGCCAGGAGCTGTGTCCTCTCAGGATCAGCCTCCCGTGTGGTGAAGGAATTGTGACCCCAATCCTAGAGAAATGGTCTGCACAGGGGCTTCGTGCTCGGTACACAAGTGACTTTCCCTGTGGTTCAGCAGTGATGGTTCAGCTGGGACAGGCCTACTAGCACCTTCCCTTGATCCCTGAATCCCAGCAGCCCTCCCTGCCTCAGTTTCCCTGCCTGGAAACAGCTATAGGAAGCAGCCTGCCTGTTAGGATCTCATGAGCAGAGTGTAGAGTGTAGAATCAGCAAAATTGATTCTACACAGCCCCTTGGCCATCCCTAACCTCTGTATGATGTGGCCTAACTCTGTGCAGGGCTCAGGGAGCCAGGGAGTGGCTTTGCCATGGGGGCAGTGACCACTTGCCTAAATCACCCCACATGCACTCTTCAGTGTGTCRGTGTCCCTAGCTCTCCCTCCTAGGGAGAGTGTTTTTTTGGGGGGGTTGTGTCCAACATGACCCCCACACCTGCCCTGTGCTGTGGTTTGCTCACTGCAGGTGTGAGCAGCTGGGAAGGTGCTGCAGGGGTTTGGGTGCCCAGGCTGCTCAGGTCCACGTCAGGGCTCTTMCTTTGCCCACCGTCAGGAAGTTCTCTCGGAGCAGTTTGGAGTTGCTCAGGTTAAATCTCAGCACTGGCTGTGCTACAGTGAGTGCTTGAGGTTGTAAAATTGTTCCCCCATCCTGAGGCCTGGCTCAAACYCGGGATGTCTCTGCACACTACCCAAGCACTCTGTGCCTCAGTTTCCCTCCTTGCATTTCCTGAGGCTGTTTTTCCTTTGAGCAGGGTCTCTTTTTCACTGGGTGCAAATAACATCCCAGTTGCTGAGGATCCTTGGTAGCATTTAGTGCCTGTGAGTTGTTGCCAAGGAMAGGGTCAGTCCTCACCCCCAAACCAGACTTGTTTCACACCAAATATATGTGCCATAAGGTTCTGTGCTTGCACCACACTGGCATAGGGGCCTTCCCCTGTAGTGCCATCGGCTGCTGACTTAAATCCTTTTGCCRTTGCTGGCCAGGCACAGGAGGTTGTTCAAGGGCTGAAAGAAGCAGGCTGTGTCCTCAGAGCAGGGATCTCGCAGAGGCAAAAGGACACTGAGGGCCACACCTGAGCATCTCTGCAGGTGTCCAGCTCCTGGCATGGCTCTGGCAGTGTGTCTCCAGCTCCTGCTTCTCTTCACTGGCTTCACTCCCGTCCCGGTGATCAATRGGCTCTGGTTGGGCTGGAAAACAGCACAAACAGAGGCATTTACAAACCCGCTGTCTCTCCAACAGGGCCATAACTCAGGCTCCCCGTCACCGTGGGGAATGGGAGGCAGGAGCTCCTGCTTCAGTGGCAGCAGCAGCACYGACATTTTTCCTCTCGTGGTAAATGTGTTACTTGGGGATAATTTACCTGCTTATGTCAAGTTTTAAAAAGAAACAGACTGGCTGCTCAGCAGCTCCTGACACTCGCAGTGTGCATGGCATGAACACACGTGTACACGGAGAAAAGAAATCGCCTAAGCTGAAAGGATGGGTTTGCAAATGCCTGCACTTTGGAGCTGCAGTCTCTTCGTGGAGTCCCTTGGGTCAAGTACTGAGGCTGAGATCTTGTCACAGTCCGTTTGTCYGTGGGGTGTCCAGGCTCTGCAGCCACCCTGGCAGTCCGGCAAGGCTGCCCACCGGGGGCTGCTTGGGGCTGGGTGTCCCACAACTCCCGCAGCGCGCTGGGAGCATCCTCTGCCCTTCTCCAGGTGAGCGGACCGGGGGCGTTTGGGAGGTGCTGTGCAGCCGCCTTGTCCTACGTGATTGGAGAGCTGGGGATCCCGGGCGGGTGGGATGCCGGGCGGGTGGGATGCTGCTCCGGCCGGCTCGGGCAGCCGCCTCCTCGCCGGCAGCAGAGGGAGCTGGAGGACCGGGGATGGCAGAGCGGGCAGCCAGCAGGAGGCTGGGCTGGGCTGGACTGGGCAGCTCGGACAGCCCCGTGGCAGGAGAGAGACYCCTCTTCACCCAGATTCTACCTCAACAGGGCAGCGGGAGGTGCCCCAGCCTGCGGACTGCCCCCTCAGCCCCGCGGTGTCACCCATCACCCATCAGACACATCACCCCTGTGGGTGCCCAGCTCTGTAGCGGACAGCTCCTGACCTGGCCCTCCATCCCTTGTGTGGGCTTTGAGTGTCTCAGCCCCGCTGTTTCATTCTGGGGAGCCATGCATTTTCTTTCTGCAGCACAGACCCTTGTCCCCTCCCTGCATCGCAGTGCTTCTCATCACCCTGAGGACCTGCTGGAGGATGG